CTTCCAGACTCAGAGCCCTGGTTGGGGAGCATGTTAATTGCAGCCAAGATGCTCTAATGTCATGGCGACCTGCCTGCAACATAGCCACAAGGGTTCTGCTTGAAGGGAGCAAGCGATGTGCCGACAAGCTTGCTACTGTATCCTTTGAAGCTGTGGGGGATTTCCTCAAGCGGAATCGAGTAGCGATACCAGAGACAGGAAGACACAAGTGCGAGTCGTAGTGTCAGACCTTAAGGGGAACTCTTTCATCGGCTCAAACTGCAACAAGAGGAGGAGGCGGGCGGACCTATATCCCCTGCCTCTAGCTGCCTCTAACATGAAAGTTTCGCTTCTTTAGTCCTCTGTGCTGTGCAGGCGTTTTGGAAAAATAGCCCTAATATAGCACCCTAAATAGTAGGATCCTTATTATAAGGACCCCAAATTAAGGTGGCCCTCTGTGCTGTGCAGGCGTTTTGGGTGTGGTCGGGATCTGTCCCTGGCTTGACCTTTCCTTGGAGCTCAGCTCCTGGCAGCCTGCACTGAAGACTTGGAAGGGATTGGTTGCGGAGGTTTCGACGGGAAGCACTTCAACTTGCTGGTCGGCGTGTTAGAAGCCCTCCATGCTGTCACCAGTGTTTAGGCTAATGATGACTGTGTGGTTCATTATTTGTTGTTGCTGGAGCTCGTACGAGCTAGTGGACATTGCTTGGCAATCAAAGTAGCGCTAGGTCTCTTTTCAACTTTCAAGAAAACCTCGTGAGGGCTGCACCCTGGTCCTAAATCAGCCGTCCCAAGCTGCGACTTCGGCTGCTGGGTATTGCTATGTTGGTAGTGTGGATGCTGTTGAGGCAAGGGGAGCAGTCTGACGACTGTGTGATGACAGTGGGTGTGCACGTAGGGATGATGATGATGATGACGATGATGATCGTGGTCGTGAATCATCGTGATGATGATGATGATGATGGTGATCATAACGATGGATGATGATGACGATGATGATGATGATGTGATGTAGATGACGATGAAAACGACTGTGATGCGGGGGCAACGAAGAGGCCGAGTAGAAGGAACAATATTACAGATACATCGATGACGGCTACATCATCACCTGAAGACTCCACGGTGCCCTGCCGAACCCGGACTTAAATTCATTCGTGCCGCTGCTGATGGTATGCCAGAGGCAGCAAAACCAAAGCAGATGCTTCCTGACCCGGCAGTGGGTCGAGGCGGCTGCTCCTTGCTGCAAGGGTCTTTCGAGGACCTCTGTGCGTCAATGCTTCAAACTGATGCGGTTTATCAGGCCGACACACAAACACACACACACACGCACACACACACACACACACACGCACACACGCACACACGCACACACACACACAGAGACACAGACACACACAGAGAGATAACGTCTGCATGTCGCAGCGAGATTCGACTGTTCCGGAACAGTTTCTGGAGTTGCTCATTCGGAAATGGATGATTTTACATGAGTGATTTGGACCGAAAGCTGGTCCGGGTTGTTACGGACGGCAGCACCGCGTAAGTTCAAAGGCTTCTTGACATAAAACTCCTACAAGTAGAACACAATAGAATCCTTCATTGCCTCCATGAGTTTCGCGATCTAGAGGCCGGCAGAAGCATATTTGCGCCAGGCCGGCCGAAGACAATTTCTCGCCAAGCGGCTGAAGAATGGGAGCTTCGGCTGCTTTTAGCGATGCTTCCGCAGGTTCTGCAGCACCTTGCGGCAGCCAAACCTGGCCTTGAGCTGGAGCTTCCCAATGATGTTTGCTGTTCAATCGTGGCTGAAGCCGACAGAGACACTACTAACTACAATTATTACTATTGCTATAGTTCTTAACATTATTAATAATGACCAACTAGACAGCCGGCGAGGACTTCACCGTGCTCCTCAATAATATAGAAGCCTGAAGAATTCGTAGCATTATTTTTGAGGGTTCAGGGATAGAAACAACTATGCTATACTGTGGCAAGCCTGCGGTAGTCCCCAGAAGCCTTCTAGGACGCTGCGCCGAGATTTCGGCTCGCTCACGTCGGCAGCTGCCAAAGTTTGCAACCCGACGTGTCACAAACCAGATTTTGTGGGCTTCAGATTTGCACGGGTGAGTTTTCCATACTGAAGTCACACCATTCCAGTTTCGAAGAAAGATGCAATTGAGTGCAGTCGGAGCTTCTTAAACAGATGCCACGTTGCTTACAGCCTGCTAGGCAGTCGCCCAACCTTTCTCGTGGCTTGTGAACCTCGGCTACAGTCAGCATGTGGTGTCCTAGCTACGGCGAGTGGCTGGGTGAAGGGTGGGTGTGCATAGGGTAAGATCCGCACTAAGCGATCTAAGCACGCGGCATATGTTGCAATCGAGGCAAGTTCGCATCAGGCGTGGCTGGGTAAAGCTTCACAGGCCTCCAACAAAAGATTGAAGCTTCTAGTGTGCAAGTAGCGGGTTTCAGCATGTCACACGAAGTCTGATAGGAAGTACTCAAACATGGGCGAGCCCCAACATCAGAGACACAAGCTAGATACCCCTTGGCACCCGTTTAGCCATGGCATCGAAAACAGCCTGCAACAGTTGGAAGATGCCTGTAATATCCAACAGAAGTAGAAAGCCTCAACTCAAGTTGGACAACGGGTCTTGTCGTGGTATTCAATGCTTGAACCAGCCATGAGCTGCACATTCAGAACCTTCAGCTCCTAAACACTACCTATAGTCTCCATTGTAGTTCCCTTTTTTGGTTTAACCAATTCTAAATTCAGGATCCGAAAAGGTAACCCCAAAAAGGAACTACAATGGAGACTATAGGTAGACACCAGCTTGTACCAGGCTGATGATTGCATTCGTGACGACGTCTTCGCTTTCCGTGATGCTGCCATCGCAGCAGGAGCCGATGTGGAAGTCTTTGAATGCCAAGGCAGCTAGCATTTCAATGGGTGAATGCGGCATTCATGGTGCTTAGCTTGCTTGCAACGAAACCTCAATCGAGACGCTAGCAGAGATTCATTGTCTCGTTGCAGGCAGGTTCCAACAGGGCAACTTGTGCCGTATCTCTGGGCAACAGAAACTCCTATAATAGTAAGCCCCTTCACTACAACATCTAGCTTCTTTCTGTGTACCAACTGCTCACTGTCCCTATTCTTCTCAACAGCCTACCAGGTGGGTCCTTTGTGTAGCTTTGGGTCCTGCTGACCAATTGCCATGCTTCCTTTCCCGGGGGTGCTAGTCGCGAGAGTCGAAGCCTCATAAACATTGATACACCATGCTTAGCGGTTTAGTTAGGGCTTGGGCCTTAAAGCCTAAACCCTCACAGTCCAAATTAAATCCCAAAGCAACAAGTCCCGTGCCGAGGACGAAGTAATATAGGGGCCTCAGTAGCAAGAATGGCTTTTTGGTGTATCTGATACTAGGTTCAGAGATGCTCTATAAGGTTGGGTGAATGTTCAGGCCCTTATCTTGCTCACTGCTTCCTGCTGCATGGCTTTCCTGGCCTTTGCGGTTTCTCCGGCGGCGCCCAGGCCCCAACTGCTTCCACGACGCTTTGTTGCTGCCGGTGTTCCACGAATCTTGGAAGCTCAAAGTATGGACAACTTCACGATCGTCAATGTCGTGTGCTGTATTGTAAACAACCGGCTGCCAGCAGTCTGTCATAAGGTCATTAGGAGCAGTTCAGTGCTTTTGCAAACATCAGTTCCCGGATATCTGGAAATCACCCCTGCAAGAACAGCTGCAGCAACAAACATTAGGTTGAAGACAAGGGCCTCACCTATGTGCCTGTGCGCGTTGAAAGGCCACGTGTTGTAGAGAATCATTTCTCAAGTGTTTTCGCACCACATGCCCAAATCAGACTGTATCTGCTCGATTCGAGCATGCCTTCCACTCAGACCTGGACCAACAGCCTTTGCAAGGCATGCCATTCTGTCTGGTCGAGACTCTGTCAGGATGGCTAGCTGGTGGTGTCAGACTGGTGGAATCAATCGTACGTTGCGCAACCGTCACAACTGTCCGGATTGGTGCTGCAGAGTCAAGCAAGGGAAGGAGCCGCCTGCGAGATGCTTTCGTTAAACGAACAAAGGAAACAGCGCTACGAAAGCACAAAGCTAGCAGCTAGATGTACACGCAGAACGCCAGATCCTGGAAGGCCCCCACTACAGAGCCCAGTTATATGCCTGCAGTCTGGGAGCCGCTGTTACTGGCAGCCGTGAGAACTCAAAGAGCCCCAGCGCTGGCACGTGTACAGATCCCCAAAGGGGCTCGGAGCTCATGTGGCCCTGCCTGGCACCTTGGCTCAGCAATGTGTGAGAGCTGATCTTTCTGTCCGAAGCTTGTCGTAATTCCCGAACATGGTTCGTAGCCCTCATTTCTCAAGTCCCTAGAGTCGTCCTCAGGAGAAGGCAGGGGCTTTGGCCGCCCTGGTGGCTGTGGCGGCTGCACAGAATTCAGAAGCCAGGCCTGGATGCGAGCGAACGGAAGGATGAAGGTGTTTTAGGGGTTGCACCCATCCGTCCATATTTGCACTCCCATCCTTACATGCATGTGCAGGAGGACGCAAATTAGGGAGGTGTATGTATGCATGTATATATATATATACACATAATATTATATACGTATATATATATATATATCAAACCTGCATGCCTACATCTACCTGCACATATATGCGTGGCAGAAGAGCTACAGGAGGAAAGGTGAGCATGTGTGTTTGTGTGTGGAAAAGCCATGATTGCTGTCTTGTCCGTTTGTCAGCTTCTTTCTCTGGCGTCTGTCTCTCTCTCTCTCTCTCTCTTGAGGGCGATCTTGTAGCATATCTTGAGTGATTCAGCCGGCCGACAGGGCCATTCTCGGACCGCCGTGACAGAGCACTCGGTACAACAGGGGCAGGGGCCACTGGAGCAGGAATCACTCTAGCCTGGATGTTGCTGTTACCACATGCAGGTTCCGAGGCAGGCGCTTGTCGCAGAACAGCTCCGATCCTGCCTTGGAATGCGGTGGCTTGGAACTTGTCCAGAATGAGGAGCCCCTGTTGAGCACATGCGACTAGGCCGGCGTTCCAAAACCAAAGACTCCATGAAGTCGCTCGGGCTGCGCCTCTCGCCATCATGCTTCATAAGAGCCGCGCAGTCTGCCAATACATACATACCGACAGCTGTTCGTAGACATGTGTAGTAATGTGTATATGTGTATATACACATACATGCATACATACGTACATACAATACAGGTAGATAGATTTATGTGTATGTATATATGTATGTTTGTGCATAAGTATATATATATGTATATATACACATACATACACTTGTGTATGCATGCATGCATGGATGTATATATGAATGAATGAACGAATGTACAGGATCCATAATATACAGAGTCCGTAAGCACACAAACACACACATATATATATACACATACATATACATATATATATATATTGTGCAAGTTATCTGTTTGTTTACATACGTACGCACACACACTTACAGCTTACGGGCTTGCATATGTACTTACTTGGACAAGGTCCGCAGGCACCGATGCAGCTCATAATGTAGACAGTGGTGCAAGATTGAACCGGCATTACATCATCAAGCAACAGCCGTTATTGCCGGAGAGTTTGGCACATGCATGCCCAAGCACCTGCGGCGACTGCGAGGAGTGCCGCGAACCTGTCCTTTGGGCGGCAGGTGGAGGCAAGTGGGATCCTGCCGCAGCATCATGGTATCAGAACATGGAGAGAAACTCGGCTTGTGATAATGCCGGATACGTGGGAGGTTTCCATGCTCTCGATCAAGCCGCATCCTGATGGATAATTTAAGCCTTCTACCAGGGTTGCCAGCGGTCGGGGGTTTTGAAGATGTAATGTAAGTTGGACAGGTGCAATAGTCCTGCACCATGGCAAAAATATGTACTAGACACTGTTGCATTACTTGCCGTGAAGATCGGCTTGATCCAGGGCTTGGATCAAAGGGCTGAAAGGGTGGGATCTCTATCCCACCTTTCGAGGCCTCCAATTGGATCAATCAATGGTCCTTAGCGTCGCCGGCCTCACTACAAGGGCCCCCAGCAAGTGGCAAGTGGCATATGTGTTACCATGTCTCTGTCTGTCCGTCTCTCTCTCTCTCTCTCTCTCTCTCTCTTCCCATTCAAACAGAACACATGGATAAAATCTTATTTTTCCATATTAAAATTTTACTATCTATCTATCTGTCTATCTATCTATCTATCTATCTATCTATGTATGTATATATATATATATATGTACGGCATGCAACCCTGCAGTTGCGTGCACACATCACCCCTCCCAGGCATTGCAGGCGTGAGTCACACACAAGCCAATGCCGCAGACTACCAAAGACTTTTCTACTGCGCTCCGCCCGGTGGAAAGTGGTGCGGACTGCCTCCGTGCTCAGGCCCACCTTACAATGCCACAGCAAAAGCTTGCAGACAGTTAGGTCAGAACTATATGTTTACTTACATGTCGGCATGACATGTCGAGGCTGCAGCAGTCCCCCTTGCTTGGATTGCTTCGCGGGCAACCAGCTCTACGCGAAACAGCGGCCGGGTTGTGCTGCAAACGATACAAGCGTAGGCTGCGTGCCACCCGAGACGGCCATGGGCTACAAGGGTAAGCATTGGCCCACCACGGAGATCACTGGCATCAACGAGATGCATATCTTTCTGATCGGGGACTGGGGTGGCCTTGATGGTAGTCTGGATACTGCCGAGAACCGACCGGAGATGATCGCCTACGACTGGGGCCGCCAGCCGGGACCCAGCGTTTTCCCCCGGAGCCGGTGGAACAAGCCGCACACCGAGCGACTCTGTGTCTTAGAGAGCCAATGGGGGAACTTTAAACCGTTTGGCCTAATACATTTAGCTCTATCCTAAAAAGTTTGAACTTTTTTGGGCCTGCTTGTTGACGAAGAGAGGTGGTCACAAGCAGTTCGTGGAGTGCTTCAACACACGTGGAGCGCCTCCATGCATCCCGGACTGCGGCTACGTGGAAGGATCGCTTTGTGAAAGTGTGGGGTTCTGGGCTTTGCGCAGCACGTCCGTCTAGCCTTATTGGGGGCTTGCCTTATCCTTCTCCGAACTACCACCCGATGTTGTTTCTAGCCCGAAGAGAAGTGCTGAAGCTGCTGAACCCTCAGCACTGAAGCCCCAAAGGGCCCAAATGCCAGGAGTGGATGACCAGCCTCAGCTATTGGTCGCAGAGGCATTCAAGGAGCGGGCAGCGCTCGTGGATCCACAGCTGCTTGGGCTTTTTGGCTGTTGCTGCCCTCTTCCGATAGATCGTTTGTAATGAGGTGGAAAATTACAGTAATAATTCCAAGAGTAGTCCCTAGAATAGTTGTAACGACACGGTTCTGTGCCCGAGCTACGATTCTATCAATTTCAGGCCCTCAGAATTGCATCAGTTTTTTCGGGGACTGTTAGCGCCCTCCAAGGCAAGGTTTGGCAGAGGCTCCCGAGGCTATATCTTGTCGGGATGTATTTTTACACGCTCTTGTAGAAGGCTATATGTTGATACATACATATCATACATACATACGTACATACAGATAGATAGACAGACAGACAGACATTAATGCAACATACAATCAAAGCTGTCACCTGTTCGTGCGGTGGAACTTCTCGCCGGAAAAGCTGCCCCTTTATGACGATATGTAGTCGGCTCAGGGCTTGAGCCATTTTATAGTACGGGCCATTGTTCCTTCTGAACTTGTCAGGTATATCCTCAACGTTGGAGATAATTTCTATTGGGGCGGGATCGAGAAGACTTGCGGAACTCCCATGATGCTTGGCCGCGGCTTTCGACTGGATTGATTGGCCGAGTCCTAGGGAATGGAGGGTTGTGAGGGCCGCCTTGTGATTGAAGGACAACCGACCTGTAGATACGCCCCAAATCCGAGACTCATAGCCCTTAGCTCGTTGGGTTGTGGGCCGAGTCGTGCTTACTTAGCTGGGCACATATGTAAAAAACGGTCGATAAACACCAAGCAACTCGGAGGGCTTATTTAATTGCAACGGCGTTTTGGGGGGCTCGGCTCAGTTTGGGGCTTGAGGGGTTGCCTTTTGAGATGTCAAAGGCTGTTGAATTGCAGGGCTTGTGTATCCATCGCGGTTTGCCTACACCCTACAAAGCTAAACACCAAGCGCCGCCACTTGTAGTATGAGCAATCCTTACATGTTGGACCAGTACATATTAGACTCATGGTCTCCGGGAACCCTTTACCGCAGCAACCTTTTGTTTTATAGTATTCGTCGTCGTAGTAGTGGAACCCAGCCGGCTCCGACTTCAGGAACCAAATTTCCTATCCCACGAAGCATCAGTTCGACCAGATCTTCGAGGGCGTCTACCAAGGGCCAGGACTCAGAGCCTTGGCATAGGTTGCATATGGTTTAGGGTTTAGGGTTATGGAGCACTCTAGCCTTATAGTGATTTGTGGTGTTTAGGTGTAGGGTTTGGCACCTCAGTGCTTCAGCTCGTCTCAAGATTGTGGCGGTTTGGGTTGACGGGGAGGGTCTTGTGCCCTAGCATCAGGAGTTCTCGACATATACGCAAATTAGAGAGGGGGGCCTTGTTTGCCAAGTCGTTCTATCATTGGCGATAGCCTGTTTTGTGAGAAATGAGGATCTCTGAGCCATGTTTTCAGTTTCCCTGCAACCCTAAACCCTTAAAGCCCGAAATACCCGCTCTACGGGAAGAAGGGTCTCTGAGCCGGTCTTTACTTGTAACGTCCGTTGCCACTGTGCTTCTTGTTATGAGGGTAGCTCTCCAAAATAGGATCCCTTCTAGGGCCCCTTTTTTACAAGGCTTCCGTAGTATTTGGGGGACCTAAAAAGGGACCCTAATTTAGAGAGCTACCCATGAAGGTCCCTGAGGTTCTTTGAGGAACCCCTGAGTCTTGGACCTTTCCTGGTGCTTTCTCGAACAGCCGCCAGCTTGGAGTTTGGAGTTTGGGGAATCTGCTTGAGATAAAACAGACTGAATGAGCTTTGTCTGTGTGTACATATATAAATATACACATGTGTAAGACACAGTTCGCTTTGATCTGTTTGTTTATGCATAGCTGCAGAAGACCCCCTTCAGGCGAGAAGCCGTGGTTCAGCGTTCTTGGTAACCATGACTGGGGTGGCTTCAAGTTCGACAATGGCCCGGGCCTCATCACACAGAGGCTGAGGTGTCTTTAGATCTCTGCCGCTCGCCGGTAGTAGCCTGTAAAATCACTCAACTGCAAGTCATTATCATGACATGTCATGAACGCAGAGCCGAGGTTGGGACCAGCAGCTGTCCTACACATGGTTTAGTGATCGCTGGGTTCTCCCTGCACCTTACTACAAGACCACCATCGTCTACAAGGTGGCTCCATGTTGAATAATTCTTCACACAACGACTTTGAAACTGTGAAGTCTGCGGTGCCCGGCTCGAAGTAGTTGTGAGTAGAACAGGACCTGGACTTTGATGTGGATTACTACTTCCTGGACAGCAACTTTATGGATGCAATGCCACCGGAGGAGGACTTTCTCGAGCTTGTCTGCATGTGAGTTTAGGTCGACAACTGACCCGCAGTGCAGCTCAAGGTTGCTGGGATTGTATGGGCTGTCTGATGGCATCTAAAGTCAGCCGGCCTGCCACATGCCTTTTTGTGAGCTTGCAATCGGTGATCAGTTTTCGGTGTCTGTGTGTTCAGGATCCGAGCCACAACATGTGCAGTGCCCGGGCTCGGTATTAGGATTTGAAGCCCGCCCGGCAAAAAACTCGTTGGATAAGTTAGCATTCGGTTGGGCTTGGGAACGTGACACAGCATAGCCTGCCGACTTCGGGCCAATGTGGTGGTACTGCGGTTCCTTCTGTGTCCGACGAAGCTGACATGTCCATCATGTGCCGTTCTCGACGATCCTCTGAATTTATCCTGCGCTCTGAAAGCATCTGCAGGATCTGGCAGAAGCAAAGCAAGGCTTTACAACCTGCATTTCCTTGCACTCTATCGCAGGTATACCCTCGCTCTGCCATGCAGGTTCCTGCACCTTTCTAAAACAGCAAGGCCTGCCCTATACACCCTATAAATCCTGAGGCCCATGAAGCCTTTAAACCCCACAAAGGCTCCAAGAACAACAACCCGGATGCCACCTGCGAATCCACGGGTGGCTCAGAGTCGGTAGAGAACTGCCCCCATTGGCTCTTCGGCGGCATTAGAGTCGAGTTGCTAGGGGAAGGAACGCTTTGTTAAGGCTGTTAAGGGCTTAGGGTAGGGTCTTGGGGCTTCGGGCTTGAAGCAAACTTTCAACGCTTGGGATATGTGTAATATTGAAGCTACCTTCCCTTGAAGGGCGGCTAAAGATTTACACTGCATATGATTAGAGGCCTGATACTGCCTTTCTAGTCAGATGACAGGCTTTTCTTCCTTTACAGCCTACTTGGAGAAGGAACTTCAAACTCTCCCGTCTGACCCTCCACAATACCAGAATCTTCAGTCAGCACGAGTTATGCTGCGGCGTTTTAGGATTCCCGAAAGGGTCGCGTCCGCGAACAGTTTTGATGAAAGCCCGAGAGTTGTCCCGAGAGGCCGAGGCCGAGCACCCCAATCCCTTCGGCCTTACGAGCCGGAGATCGGGCTGAGGGTTCAGGGGTTTAGGGTGTGTAGGGGTTTAGGGTTTGCAGCTCCGGGCGCGCAGACTCAGCAGAAGCTGACACAGCAGCGCAGCAAGAGAAGCAGCCTAAACTCGCCAGACGCGCTGCAGATTGGCCGTGAGCGAGCCAGAGAGAGAGAGAGAGAGAGAGAGAGAGAGAGAGATAGAAAGGTGTGCTGTTTCCCCCCGAAAGCCCCATCAAAACCTTGGGGGGCCCTATGGGCCGGGGGGCCTGACCCGCCCCTCAGACCCGGCGGAAGAAGAGAGAGGTAGAGGGCCAAGATTCAGATGCCTCTCTGTTGTAGTTGCGTCGTTCCACCCCCTCCAAAACGGTTGGGGGCGCGACAGCGCGCGGGCTAGGGGAGCTCCCCTAGCCCACAGCCCTAACGAAAGAAAAAAAAGAGCCTTGGCCCTGAGACCACCAGGGCGCGTGCGCGCGCGGGGGAGGGTGCTGACGTGCCCTTCTTCAGTCTGTGTTGAAGAAGCCTTGGCATTAAACAGGATTGAGCGTGTCGGCTCGGGACGCTCCCGATGCCCCGAAGACAAAAAAAAAGGCTTGGCATTGCCACCGCCTCAAGACCTGAGCAAGGCAGAATAAAGAAAATGTCGGGGAACCAGCTCCGAGCAAACGCAGCACGCAACTGGATGCTGACACGCCTCAGCCCACCCGGGTAGCGCAGAAGAAAGGGTGGGACGCTCTCCACTCTCTCGTGACCAAGACAGGGTGCGGGATCGCGGGATGTGCTTTCCGACAGGTGAGGCATGAGGTGCTGGTCGGGAAGGTCGGGGCAGGGCACCAGCACAGCAGGGGCAGCTTGGGGCGAGACTGATGCAAGTCGTATCTGAACCTGTTCAAGAGTTCTCCATTGCCTCATCAGTGGGGCGTGCATGGAAGTCGCGCTCCAGAACTCTGCTAGTTCGTCAGACGAGGGTTTCAAGGAGATCACATTGTAGATCCCACTGACTCGAGGCTGCCCTAGGCATGTGAGGTTTATCGCCAACACTATCAGGAGGATGCATGAAATTACTGTGTAGTTTGTCGGTGGTGAGCCTATCTAAGCTTCAGATGCTACCGATTCAAGAGCTGCAACCATGAGCTCTGCATTCCATGAGACGGGCCCGCCTCTCTTCGCGGGGTCCACCCTTTTGACCCCAGCAAAGAGAGCCTTAGCAGACTGTTTTTCCCAAGGTCCTGGCGACTCCAAGGAGGGCATTGGCGAGGCCTGGTGCCATTTTGGATCTACTTGGTGCAAGGGGGGCCTCGTAACGTCGTAGATTGCTGCTGAAACGTATGTACAGTGTTCTTTCAGGCTCTAGTTGTACTTCCGATCCCTGCCAACTAGAGTCGAGAAGCTGCAGCTTGCCAAGGTCAAGGGGGCGTGTACTTCAGCTCTAGCCTGGCAAAGTCGAATGCCAAACTTGGCAAAACAAAGCATCCCTCCACATACATTCGCTGAGGTCGCAATTGTGGGATGGCCCCCCAGCCCATTTCACAAAGACATCAGTAGTACGGATCGGTAGCCTTACGAGCAGGTGCAGGACTGTAAAAACTCGCCGGCAGCATGCAAGCCAGACACCTGGCGCGCATTGAGCCTGTGCGGTTGAGGGCAAAGGTGGTTCATGGCTTTGGCCGTGGATCCAAGCAACTCGGGTTCCCTACTGCAAACATGCAGGTGTACTGGGACCGGGACGTGCGTGACTTATCTGAGCAAGAGCGTGCAATGCGAGATTTTGCCGAGACGCATCGGGCGGGCATCTACTGTGCATGGGGCAGTATCGAGGAGGCGGTCGGAGGCCAAGAGGTCCACAAAGTGGCGCTGAGCATGGGCTGGAATCCGACCTTTACAGATGTCAAGGCGAAGACCGTGGAACCGTGGATTCTCCACAACTTTGACCAAGATTTCTATGGATGCCACCTGCGCTTGCTAGTTTTGGCTTACATCCGACCGGAGCTGAAATTTGACACTATCGAGCAGCTGAAGCAAGAGATCGCCTTGGATGGTGAATTTTGTGCAGCTGCATTGGCCTCTGAACTGCTGTCGTTCCAAGGCGACTCGTTCCTCCACGCTTGGTCCACTCCTGCACCGGTGAAGCTCCAAGCCGCCCCGATGCCCGCCGGAATCATTGTCAGTACATCCTTAACGAAAGCCTTGGAAGAGATGCCACCCCTGCAAGCCGGTTGTGTTCGCTTGTTCTTGGCTCGACACGGCGAGACGACGGCCAACGAGAAGGGCTTGCTGTGTGGGGGCGACCTTGATTCAGAATTGAATAGCAACGGCGAGAAGCAGGCCGAAGAGCTGGCACAGGAATTCTGCTCGCTGGTAACCCCGGAGATCATCGGTTCTTCATCACAGCGGCGAGCTGTGCGATCGGCGGATCTTGTGGCTCGCTGCTGTCCGAAGTCGGAGCGTCTTGTGATCGACGATCTTCGTGAAATGCGCTATGGATTGCTCGCCGCTTGGTTGACCTTTTGTTGCTCGTCGGGAGCATCGCTAGCGGGTGGTAGCGGCTTGAATTGCCCAAGGAAGGTGCTCTCATTGCCGACGTCGGTGATGAAATGAAGTCAATTGCAAAGGCATGGCGGGATGGCAACCTGGAGGACGTGTGACCGTTTGTAACGACCATCACGCCATTTTGCATGTTAGGATGATCTACCATGTACCTCGAGACGCCAGAGCCCCCAAGTACCCACGATCTTGCAACTGTTTGCAACTGACAATTCGCTTGGCTTCAGGAGCGCGTTGGCGGAGAGCGCGGGGAGAGCCCGAAGGACCATGCACAAGCGATCACATGTGCGCACGTGCATTGGGACAACGAACTCAATTCGAGTATCGCAAGAACAAGGGTGCAACATGAATATAAGCAAGCCAGATCGCGTGGTGGGGTCCACAGCGGGTACAGTAGGGCTTCGAAGACGAGGAAACTCCATCGAGCAAGTCTCACGTCAACGCATGCCAATGCAATTTGTAAGAACATCTGTAGCCCAGAATCTGTCCCACTTAATTAGCATCAGCCAGGATTTTGGGATCGACTGAAACGCTATGATAGATAGCTAACACCAGCCGTGTCTTGCATGTGCCCGAACGGAAAACCCTCAAGAAGTGTTGCTGGCAACTCATGTCGGAAGGACTTGGTGGTGCGTGTCCTGCACGGTCTGAGCAGAAGTCTGCAACAGCAAGAGGGGAAAGCGGTGTTGCTTTTTTGCCATTCTTGGGTGAACAAGGCTCTGATCGCTTTGGCTACTCCAGGGCTGGGCTTGCAAAAGTTGCTGGACATACCTCAAAGGAATTGTGCCGTCAATGTAATTGACGTTGACTGCCGGCACTCCGACCTTTCCCCGTCCCACTTCCGAGTCTTGGCTGTCGACTTAGTGGCCGGGTCTCGGGCGAGGATTTGAATGCCACCCGATCCACGTCATGTCCAGATTTTCCAGGGATCGTGGAAGTGCTTCGTCGCATCAGCTTGCGAGCTGCGCAGCGGCAGAAAGTTCCCAAACCGCAGACCACCCAGCGAGTAAGCTTCGGACTCTTCAGGTCCAGGACTTCGGGCCTTGGGTTCGGTTTTGGTCTCTGATTCTTCTGATTCTGCCTCAGTCGGAGATCAAACTCAGGAAGCTGCTGTTTTGCCGCCCTTTGCACAGCAGGATTCGGCGTATGCCAAAAAATCCCGGAACCACCATGAAATTCTCCCGGTAGATTTTTTGGAGGCCCATGGATGCTTCTTACCCCAAACCTTTCAGACCTACCATTTCGTCGCCGTGCCACATAAAAGGAGAGGACATGTACTGTTCAAGCACTTCTTGAGGAAGATGCCGTTCAATGGGCCACCTTAGACTATCTCATCATGCCTCAGTCCCTTCGTAGTACTGTTTCATTTCTGGGCACGCATTTGCACAGCTCATTAACTCTGATCTGGGCATCTAGTTGCGACATTAACCTTTGACTTTTCGGTCATAGTCCAAATACAGCGGTAGTGTTACGTACTGTGGCAGCTGTGCCTGTCCTTGATTGAGCCTCGATGCTCGTTCCTATGTCCGTTGAGAGGATCATGCCTGGTGGAGAAGTTCTTTTTAATCTTTCTCTGTACCCAAGCTCTCCTCCACACCCACTAAGGGGTTCAGCTCGCCTGCCTGAAGTTTTGAGGCAAGGATGAGCAATGCACCCGTCTGCTGGGATTCATTCTCAAGAACAGCTATGGGGAGGACATCTTGGACGGGATCTTGAGGCTTCAGCTGAATTGCGGTTCCAAGTCTGAAATCCAGTGGGAAGGCAGCTTCTGGCATCTTCTGACTATCATACGCATGGGGATCACATTGGCAAATCTGAGTTGCCGATTGGGCATCTCCTCGCAATCTTGGCTTGTTTAACGAGTCGCCGCGATCCGATGCAGCCAGCATTCCCATTCCACCTCGACCTGCTGCAAAGTCTTTATTTCGGCTTGCTGAGCATAAGCAACGAGGAGCCGGAGCCGTAGGCCCGAAACGCTCATGCTGGAGGATGCCATCAACGTTGATGCAGAGGGCTGGGCTCCGATGGAAGACTGCGTGGCAGCTATGCAGAACAAGCCACCTGGCTCACGTAGGGTTTTTTGATCTCACAGCTGATTCATTCGGGAGCGGGCAATAGCGGGCAAACTGAAAAAGCACAATTGTCAAGGATGGCATGCCGCATCATTCCTGCCCATCCCAGTACTCACAGCCCTTTTTCCGGCATAAGCTATTGTCATTGGCGCCTTAACCTTCGGAATGCCATGTACCCAGGAAGCCTGACCTGGGCATCAACAGTGTTGAGGAGTTGAAGCAGTTGCTCCAGGCCCGTAGTTCTGATGCCGGTGCATCGCAGGCACCAAACCAAAAGCCCTCAAGTTTGATCTCGCGTTTCGGGTATCACTTCAGAAGACGCCGTAGGCCTGGTAGCTTGTGGTGCTGTCAAGCGTGGCATTCTGGGGTTTGCCCTAGGCTTAGCTTGATTTTGGGGGTTGGTTGTTGACACTGCTGAAGATGCAGCCCGAGAACCTTTGCCGCTGCTTCGAGCGTGAGCGCTGAAAGCCCTCAAACGAGTGGCTACTGTCTTGTAAAACTCTGGGTTTGCTTGAGGCAGTTTATGCAGTTTATGGCATGAGGGACACTGAAGTCATGTTTGTGTCCAGACGATTCGAGTTGTACCAAGAACCTCACTTGTCGAAGCCCGAATGTGAGAGCACAACGCCATCGAGTTTGCCTGACAGTTGTTTTTGCAGCATCCGGTCGGCAAGCAGGTGTTGTAGTTCTTTGAAAGGGGTCAGGCCGGTGAGTGAGAGAGCCTTTAGAAATGGCTGCCGTGCATTGCGTCCCCCGCCAGAATTGCGACCATGAGGGTCGCTTTGCAATCGATGAGTACAACCGCGTCCGGAAAGCCCGATGCCTGGCAGTCTGTCAAAATCGGAGACATAGGGTTGTGGTTGTGTGCTCAGAGCTTGTAGGCCTGGGTGTGGGATTGTGTAGGCTTCCGGTTCTTGCGTTCTTGCTTTCTTTCCTACACAGTTCTAAAGGGAGGAGTGGTGCGCCTGGCCATTGTGCGGATGCAGGAACCGGATTTAGCTATACAGTGCCTCAAGATGATACACAGTGCGTCGCATGACAGCCTGGTATCTTTTGGCCAAGTATTTGCAATATGACTTTGCGGGAGTTAAAGGATAATGTGCTTCGTGTAAAACGATGCAGCGCAGTTTCTTCCACAAGACCTTCCTGGTTCTGTCAGACTTAGCCTCATGCAGACTCACCCAATGACCTTGAACGGTGTAGCCTCAAGCGGCCTGCTTTCAAGGTTGATCGCGCCGACCGACAGACGGCTGCGCATCCTGCGTACCCGCCTTCGAAGCAGGGGTCTTAACTCCGAATTATTTTCACATTTGCGATGCCGGATGTTAGTAGGGGCATTCGCGTGGCATTTCAAACTCAGCTGCCGTGGGCACCTGCGAAGTGAGCCAGCATTGCTGGCAGGCCAGCGCCAACGACGACGTGGACCACACAAAAGCAACACAAAACCAGTGGGCCCTTCAATGCAGCAGCCTCGATTCTAGTGCTTTGTCGGGTGGACTCTGCGGCTCACATGCACGTGTGCAGGCTGCATTTTGTGACTGTTTCGTTCCTCCGCTGCCTTGGCACAGGATGGCGAAAGGGGGGCTATAGACGACTTTGGAGACTGTGGAACATGGCTATCTGCCTCTCGCTCTCTCCCTCTGTCACTCTCGCTCTCGCTCTCTCGCTCGCAATCTCCAAGTGATTTCTATCGGAGGAACTTGTTTTGAGCGGGTGCTGGGCTGAAGCGTGGAGGAACTCAGAATTGCAGTGTTTCGATCATTCTGTATTCCAGAGGTTTGTGACGCCTGCAGGGCATCTTCGAAAGCAAGTTCTGTCAAGCCTGACGACATGTGAAAATGGCACGCTAATCCACATCGACATGAAAGTTATATCAGAACAGGATTCAGGTGTTAACCTTGGTGCTCTGGAGTGTTCAAGGGCCATCATGCTCGTGGCACTTCTCTATCAGTTTGGATCCGAGAGATGCTACACCCGCGACTCTGTCGGATCGTGCAGAACTGTGTGGCCCCTGCCAGTCTCTTGAACATCCGCAAAGACTGCCTGCGAAATCTCCAAAAGTCCGAGAATACTCCAATTATAGCACTCGACGAATGCCCGACGAAACTCATACACCAACTCCGAAGCTGCAACGGAACTTTCCAAAGCTCCAGCCTTTACCCCTCTGAAGCCATCAGTTCCCATTTAGAACCAGACATCCCTGAAAGTGTCCACCACCCCTTCCTAAATCCCATTACCAAAGCCTACTCCCTCTAGGCTGTGGGGTTCGGGCTTGTGATTGGTATTGCCTGCCGTGTGATGAGGCGCATGCTCGAAGCTGTTTGCCTCCGAAGTATACTCCTCTTGTTCTTAGTACTTAGGTCGCGCATACAGGTCAAACTCCCGCACAGCTACAGCCTTTTTCTTTCCTTACCACCTTTATGAGCTATGATTTACTATTCCATTGGCATGGCTTTTGTCCTGTGCAAAACGTGGATACAAGCCTTGCCCGGTAGATTTGCTGCAGACCGGATGCAAATGAGCATAGCTCAGAGCCTGCTCCATTCTAGTGCACTTCGCATTTTGGGGACGAGAGAGAACCTTCGAGGCCTTCGCCGGCAGCAAACAAGAACCAGAGGAGGAACACAAGGCACTGCAATGCACTGCCTGATGTCAGAGGGAGGGATGGGGTTGCTGCGAACTGGTTTTTTCCGCCTTCAAGGCCCGACGGTAGAAAAAGCGCGAGATGGAGGGAACATTGCGCAGTATTTCCTCACTAGACGGAGTGAGTTCCCGTCCTTGAGTCCTCTGATTCTTCATTCTGCTGCACTGTCTCGGAGCCCAGACCCAGACGGGCTTATGATGCATGTCGCCGTCAGGCATGGGAGGTTGATTGTTCGTCAAAACTGTTACCGACCGGGTCATAAGCAGTTAAGCACACAAGTGCCGAATTGAGTGATTTGGCATCACTAGCAGGAGAGAAGTGTTTGCTTGCATTCCGAAGGCCTGGGTGAAGGAGGAGCAGGACCAGGTGAGATCGCGACAAAGCTCTCGGTGAAGTCGTCTTCTCGTTCATATCTTGTTTGTTGGTGTGTTATGTGCACGCGTGTTTGCACGTGCATGCACATGTGTGCGCATTTGTTTGTTCTTCGCCCTCCGTGGACTTTTAAGATTTTAAGGGCAGATGCCGACGAGAACCTGCGAGTACCTCCCCGCCCCCATCAGTGCCCGCCCGCCAAATAGCAGGACATAAGAAGAGGACGTAGAGGACAGGAAAAAGGATTGATAGCAGCCCATACCAAGGGGACAGCTTAGTAGGTACAAATAGAAGGGCACAAGAAGAGATGAAAAACAGCTTCTCCACCAATAGCCACCAAATGGAGGTCTCTCACAACCTCTCCGGGCACCAGTAGCAGCGACTGCTCAGAAAATAATCGTACGAATAGCAGCCAGTGGAGGTCTCAGGATGTCTCAGGCAGAAAGATGGAGGTCTCAGGCCTCCGAGTACACGCGCACGAACGGCAGCCAGACCAATAGCAGCCTGAACCTCTCAACCCTCCAAGAGCGGCGTGGTCGCGTCTCCATCTACCGACGGAGTTTGCGCGTGGGTGGGTGGGTGGCTTGGTGGGTGTGTGGGTGTGGGTGGGTGGGTGGG